ACTATCCACGAAGAAAACGAAGAAATCAACGAAAGACGGTCCTTTGCACGGGCAAGATGTAGAAGATTGCTAGAGGAGGGGGGAACAAATATCCTCTAAGCTATCTCTCTCTTGTAGGGTAGAATAAATCGCTCTCCAAAGTTGATTTAATAACCCACTTAAGGTGGATTTAAATAGGCTTTGAGAGAAATTTATTTCCCTTTCCTAGAAGGATCTAATTTCCTATTAAAGAGAGAATCTACATCAAAATAGGAAGCAGTCCTAAGTTTCCTAAAGCAAGAAGATCTCTACACCTGCTGCCCTTTTTTTGCGAGCAGCCCAACAGGTGTGGGGGCATTTGTGGAGCCAAAAATATTTCACAGGGCGACACGTGGATTTTTGGACAAAAAATGACAAAAATACCCTTGCAGTACAACGAGGTTCCTACGCGCAAGCAGCGGGCAACCCTCTTTCAACCAAAACAGAAGTGCCCAAAATAGGTAACAATTCAAAGTCCATCTCATCAAATCCTTTCTACAAGGTAATTCCCAAACACATTCCTTTTAAATTATGTTAATTGGCTAATTAATGGGTTTATTGCCTAATTAACCCATTAATTGTCAATTAAACCATCCATTATATCCAAATAACTACAAAATACATCCAATTCAACCCTAAAACACCACATGGCCGGCTATCCCCATTTTCAAAACCTAATCCATCACTTTTTTTCTACCTTTTTCACCATTTCTTCCTTTTTATTACCCAATAAATTCAAAAAACCACCAAAAACACTCATCTTATGTTTAATAGCCAAATAAATTGGCTAATTAAACCTAAATTAAACCTAAAAACCCTAGCCACCTCCTATCCCTATAAATATACTCCCATTCTCACCAAAAAGCTAATGCCAACACTTTGGCAAAAATCCCAAAATTCTCTAAACACTCTTTCTCTCTAAATTCTAACTTTGGCATCGGAGGTTCTTCGGCCAAAGCCCCCCCATTCATCGTGGGTGCGTGAGGCTCTTGGCCTTAACCTAAGGTGTTAATTGTTTTGTAGGTGCAAAATCGTCCAAGATCGAGGAGGAAGAAATTTGCATCCACAGGTGCCATCAAGAAATATAGACCGGTGAGGTTTTAGAATGTTGCGGCAAGAAAGGTTCTATGCTAGAATTCTTGACTGAGGTACTATCAGTCATGGTATTCATTTATATATAATTACAAGAGTGGACCAACACAGTCCCATTTACAGAAAGTATATCAACATAATCAAACTAATTGAATGATTACACGTAAAGTAAATCAGCAATTGCAAGGGAAGGTAATCAGCCAAATTCTTATGAGGGTGGACTTTCTTGTGTTTGCCTAATTTCAGGAGATGACTAAGATAAGGGCGTCGTAGGAGGCTTATGTTTCTCATCAAGAACAAGGTATGCCTCCAACTTCTGCCCATATTGTTTTCTTTTTCTTCTTCTTGCATCAGATCAGTGTACAATTATGCATACGATTTATAAATCGCATAAATTCACTTTATTGTATACGAACGTATAAAAACGTATGAAAATGTTCTTTATTGTTCCTCTAAGTCATTTCTAATAGATTTTCAACCTCCAAGTAGATTCAAAAGTCTTTATAGAATGAGAAGTTTGCCATAGCGCTAGTTGTATATAATTATTGATTAGTTTTTACAATAAACAAGAGATTATAAACAATCTAGTGACAAAAAAAACAAAATCACAAACAGTGTGACCTGACGAAAGTATTTTTATTCTACAATAATTTCTGATAATGATAACTTGATAATTATCACAGGAATAGATCAAGTGTATGATCTGACTAAAATTCAGAGCACAACAAATAAACCCAAGCGATAAGCCTACGTCACAGTTCTCCACTCTTCCGACTCGTACGTTTGCGGCGCCATAACTCTAGCTAAGAGTCTACTCCAAACTGGCACCAAACGCGACCTCGTCCTCCTCCTGGACAATTTCATCTCTGCCCCCAAACGCGACGCACTCTCCGCAGCCGGGTGGAAGGTCTACTCCATTAAACGGATCCGAAACCCTAATGTAAAAAGGGCACCTATTTTGAGTACAACTATAGCAAGCTTCGTCTCTGGCAGCTCACCGAATACGACAAAATCGCTTTCATCGACGCCGACATCATTGTCCTTCGAAACCTCGACTTCCTCTTCCACTTTCCGCAAATGTCAGCCACAGTCGACTCCGATTACTGCTTCAACTCTGGCATCATAGTCATCGAGCCCTCCAACTGCACGTTCAAGTTTTTAATGGACCACGTAGATGACATCGTTTTGTACGGCAACGGCGACCAAGGGTACCTCAACGAGGTCTTCGTATGGTGGCACCGGGTGCTGAAGAGGGTTAATGCTATAAAGATTTTTCCAAAGAGTAGGACAAACGGGACGACGTTTATGGATGAACATTGGAAGATAAATATCACGGATCCTAGACGAGAACATTTGGTGGCATAAAAGAATATATATGTTTTTTAATTGGATAATGCTAGGGAAATTAAGTTTTTAAACTAAATTTGCAAACAAAATGATGTGTCACGATAGAAAATGAGTACGTTAATCAACATTTAAGAAATAATTCAAGATTAATGCCAACTATATCAACTTTTTAAACCAAATTTGCAAACTAAATGATGTGTCACAAATGAAAAATAAGCACATTAATCAACACTTAAGTAATAATTCAATCAACAACAACCACATATTTGGTTTACAAAATTTGGTTGAAAAAGGGTAATGCTAGGCAGACTAAATTTGTAAACAAAATTGGCTAAACTAAATGACATGAGAGTTGATAATTGAATTATTATTTAGGCGTTGATAAACATGCTCATTTTTATTGGTGACAAATCATTTAGTTTGCAAGTTTTGTCTACAAATTTAGTCTCCCTAACATTAACCATAATCCAATCATCAACATCATAATCATTTGATTTACAAATATTGGTTTAGAAATTTAGTCTCCCTAGTATTAAACATAATCCAATCATCAACATCTTAATAATTTGGTTTAGAAATTTGGTCTCCCTAACATTACTCTTTTGAATTTCCTCTTTTCGGTTCTTATAAATTCGGATTTTATCTTTGTTTTTTTGTTGAAATATGTAATACATATATGCATCATGTACACAAATGGGATGATGGTGTTTTTCCTTTTTTTTAATAACAAATTATGTTATACAAGATGTACAAACGAGAGTGTATCCTAACACATTATATTTAACTGATCTAATTCGCGTCTACGTAATAATCATAATCAATCTTTATATTTCATAGGAAGAAAACAAAAAAGTTGTAGCAGTTGACCTTTTGGGGATTTGGGAATCTTGTTTGTTGCTGCATAAGGTTAAAGGAAAGTCCTCACATTTCAGTTGTTAAGCGTGTATGTACCACAAAAACCACCGGACGTGGCAGGAGCCACAAATCCCAAAATGTGACAGAAATGGAACATCTCTCGCCCACTCACTCACAAAACGCCACAGTCCAACAGTTATTCAAATTATGAAACCCACACTAAAATCAATGGTCCCGGCAGTTTTTTGCCCAGACGGGGAGCTTTTGGACCGTTGGGGGCTGCGTACGCGGAGAGTTTTATATCCATTAAGCTACATTCTTTTATGATTTAATTAAGCTACATTCTCGTATGTGTTACATTGTAATTTGATTTATGTTGATTCAAAATTAATACAACCATGAAAAGAAGAAAATAATTTTTACATATCTATTTTTATCTTCTCGCGCATTGATTTTTATATATGATCATCGAAATAAGCAAGTAAAACGAAATCAACTGTTATGACTAAAAAAATAAATGTGACAGACTAAAAAGAGTGATAAATAATACTCCTCCAAAGAAAAATGTGACATGGGCAATAGAGTCATTTTGAGCTAGAGTATCTTCAGTAAAGACATTATCCACGATGGGCGGTGCCTTTTTTTATTTTATGTAATAATTATCTTTAGTTATGAACAGTGTGTGTTCCGAGTCTTAATCAAACACTATTTATTAATTAAATCAAAATATCTTAACTTAATCTTTGTACTGTCCTATAGTTTTATCTTATGAAAAAAATTAAGGAAAGCAATCACATACGGATGCCTTTTCTAACTAATACATTATACATGTCTCTTGGTGCCCACTGCCCATCCACAACTAGCACATACACAAACAAAACAAACGCAATAATAAATAAATATTTTATGACAAAATATTTGAATATTACATTCCAATCAAGAATAATTAATTGCAAAATATCATCAACAATTGAAGAAAAAAAATGCTTATTCGGGCTATTAATAACGATCAGTTGCAATGATTCTATATCTGTCTTTTTTTTTTCATTTGCAATCTGATTTTCTTTACTTTATTTGATCTAACGATTGAAAATAAACTTAAAGTACACATATGAAAGAAAAAAGGGTGTTAAAATCAAATCCCTTGCAATAATAGTTTGAGTCCAAATTTGTTTCTTCAAGTATCCAAAACGTGGTTCCATATTAATCCTAGTGCAACAAGATCCACTTGAGTATTTTTTTACAAAATATTACAAAACAATCATATTTTAAATTTTTTTTTTTTTTTAAATAGTAGTTATCTCATACACATACAACAAATTAATTCTTCACTCCATTCAACCTCACAATGCATGAGGCCGTCGTACTTTTATTATTTAGCTTAATGGTACACCAAAACAGACTTTCAAAATATGCATCAAAGTTCGAATTCGGTCCAGAGTTTCAAATCTTTGTTCGCTTCCAACTAATATCTAATTATTTGTTTTAGTAAGAAACTTGAAATAAAACCAAAAAAAAAAATTATTGAAAAACTCCTGATACTATTCATTTTAACAAAAAATCATATTTTTATACTAAAAAATTAATTATTGTACTATTTATTTTGTTCTTATTAGTAAAATTCAAAGTTTTCAAGTTTTTTTTATTAGTTTTCCTAAAAATAAAGGTCTCGTGTTGTGCCTAGAAATCCTTTTCTTCTTCGAGGAGTGGTGGTGAGCTGCACCACCCAATCCAACGGACAAAACCTCCCCGCCTTTCGGATTTTGGTCAAATCCCCAATAAAAAAATTGAAAAAAAAAAAAAGAGTGAAAAACTGAAAAATCAGAGATTGGAAGAAGGAGCGTACAGATGGATCCAGTCCGTGTGTGACGAGACGAGGAGGAGGTAGGCTCCACTCATCTCTGCTCTCTTCCTTCCCCCGCTATTTTTCTCTTCGCTCTATTTTTAGCTCCGATTTCTTGGCTGCTATTTTTTGCTAATTTTTATCCCTTTTTGTGCTTTTTTTTTGCCTTAATTTTCAGCCTTTTTCGATATCCGAAACTCCATTCCCACTTTCCTTTCAATCGCTTCTCGCTATTCCGGTACGTTCCTCTCTCTCTCTCTCTCTCTCTCTCTCTCTCTCTCTCTCTCTTTGTCCCTTTTTTTCCCGATTAATTTTTGGTTGAAAGTTCGAATTTTTATTGATTTTTTTGGCACTGATAACACTTGTTCTTGCAAATTAGCTGTTTTTAATTCACTGTTTTAGATTTTTTTTTTTTTAAATTATGTGGAATTGATGATCTAAGTGAGTATTCGAAGTTCTTGGATTGTTATTTCTGCATGCAGCTTGCTATTTAATTGTTCTTATTATTCCTTGTATGCCTGGCAGCTGTTTGGATATTTTATTTTTTGGAAATTTATTTATTTTTCTGAGAATTTCGATAATTGAAAGTCGATACAACCCCAGCAAACTAAGGATAGTAATTTCGGATTGGTTAGTTTTAGACCGGAGAATCGAAAATCTAATATTTTTACTACAATTTCGTAGAACGTGATATATTGAGGCTAAAAGAATGCAAATTCTGATGAAATAATGCAAAAAAGATTTGGGTATAAAGGTCCTACATGTTAGAAGCGCTAATTTTCTTGGCTTTTATGCAGTGATTTACTTTTTCGTTTCTGTTTTGTTGATCCGATTTCTTTTACTTGGACTGTAGATTTTGCTCGTGGCACCTCTTCTCACACTTACTAGGAATGGAGGTTGTGAAAACTGCAGAAGTAACGCCTCCTCCAGAATCTTCTTCGTCCTCCAACCGTAATCAACAATCCGCCGGGGATGCTCCTGCAAATTCAGAAAAGCATGACAGAGTTGAAAGTAACAGTCCTTTGCCAACGATGGACAACCCTAGATTAGAAACTACACTAAGTTCTTCTGATGGGAGACCCTCTCTGGAACAAAATCAACCACTTCCAACAGATAATCCGGCTTCTAGCTCATCAGCGATGGAAAATGGTAAATTGCCAGCTGCAGAACATGCTTCAAATAGCACATCTCCAGAACAAAGTCAACTTCTTCCAACAGATACCCCACCCTCAATCGCTACAGTCACAGAGAAAGATACGGAGGATAGTTCGGTGGAAGGTCTGGGTCCCAAAAGTGTCGATAATGTTTCAAATAGTGCATCTCAGGAACAAAATCAACTTCATCCAACAGATACTCCAGCGTCAGCCTCAGTAAGTACGGTCAATAAAACAGAGACAGATGTTCAGGGTACCACGGCAGTAGATTCTGGTCCTAAAAATGCTGACAAGGTAGTGCAACCCACAACACGTTCTCTACCCAATATAAAAGTTTCCCGAATTGCTGTTAAACAAGCTGAAGCCATTTATTCTCCTAAGAGTGCTAAGCTGGCATATGTGAACAATGTAGTCTCATCACCCAATGCAAAGTTTGCTAGCTTCTCTGCAAGAAAATCAGTCGTCACTGATTCCCCTAAGAGTGCTAAGAACAGAGGCCTTATTGATACAACTGCACCTTTTGAATCAGTTAAAGAAGCTGTTTCCAAATTTGGAGGAATTGTTGATTGGAAAGCCCATAGAATCCAAACCGTGGAGGTACATTTTCTTTATTTTTTTTCTGTTTTATTAGCTATTTATTGTTTTATGTTGGTGTTAAAGTTCGCAATCCCTTTTCTTTTGAATCCATAATCGAGTGGTTATTTGTTTTTTTTTTGTTTTTTAATGGAACTCTCGTCTAAGTATTATGTTGAAATCCGGAAAATACCTACGTTTTCTAAAACTAATCGTAATCTCTTCTTTGGCTGTGCAGAGACGCAAGATTGTGGAGCAAGAACTTGAGAAAGCACAGGAGGAGATTCCTGAGTATAGGAAACAATCAGAGGGTGCCGAAAATGCAAAGGTTCAAGTATTGAAGGAGCTGGATAGCACTAAGAGACTCGTAGAAGAATTGAAGCTCAACCTGGAGAGAGCACAAACAGAAGAACAACAGGCAAAACAAGACTCCGAACTTGCCAAACTAAGGGTGGAAGAGATGGAGCAAGGTATAGCTGACGAGGCTAGTGTTGCAGCCAAGGCACAGCTTGAGGTTGCTAAGGCGAGGCATACAGCTGCGGTGACAGAGCTGAAATCCGTTAAAGAGGAGCTGGAAGCGCTGTACAAGGAATATGCTTCTTTAGTCACTGAGAAAGATACAGCCATTAAAAAAGCTGAAGAGGCCATTTCTGCATCCAAGGAAGTGGAGAAAACAGTGGAAGAACTGACGATTGAGCTAATTGCCACAAAGGAGTCATTAGAGGCTGCGCATGCCGCTCATTTGGAAGCTGAGGAACAAAGGATTGGAGCAGTCATGGCCAAGGAACAAGATTCGCTTCATTGGGAGAAGGAGTTAAAGCAGGCAGAAGAGGAGCTTCAGAAACTTAACCACCAAATTATGTCGGCTGAGGATCTCAAGTCAAAACTCAACACAGCCTCAGCCTTACTACTTGATTTGAAATCTGAATTAGCTGCATATATGGAATCAAGATTAAAGGTGGAAAATGGAGGAGTCTTGAAAGATGGGCTACAGGAACCAGAGAAGAAAACTCATACCGATATACAAGCAGCAGTTGCTTCTGCAAAGAAGGAGCTGGAGGAAGTGAAGCTCAACATAGAGAAAGCAGTTGCTGAAGTAAATATCTTGAAGGTGGCTGCCACATCATTAAAATCGGAACTTGAAAGTGAGAAGTCAGCTCTTGCCACCATTAGGCAGAGAGAAGGAATGGCATCAGTGGCTGTTGCGTCTCTTGAAGCTGACCTGGAGAAGACTAGGTCGGAAATAGCTCTAGTTCAGATGAAGGAGAAAGAAGCCAGAGAGAAGATGATTGAGCTGCCCAAAGAATTACAGCAAGCAGCACAAGAGGCTGACCAGGCAAAGGTACTTTCTGAAATGGCTGGTGAAGAGCTGCGCAAGGCAAGGGAAGGAGCAGAGCAAGCAAAGGCTGGAGCAAGTACTGTGGAAAGTAGATTACTCGCGGCGCAAAAGGAAATAGAGGCTGCTAGGGCCTCCGAGAAGTTGGCGTTAGCAGCAATTAAAGCTTTGCAAGAGAGTGAACAAGCCAGAAGCACCAATGATACTGATTCACCCGCTGGGGTAACTCTTTCTGTAGCAGAGTATTATGAGCTCAGCAAACGGGCCCATGATGCAGAAGAACAGGCGAACGCGAGAGTTGTAGCTGCAAGTTCCCAAATCGAGGTGGCCAAGGAGTCTGAGCTCAAAAGCTTGGAAAAGTTGGAAGAAGTTAATCGGGAAATGGCTGCGAGAAAAGAAGCACTCAAGATTGCAATGGAGAAGGCTGAGAAGGCCAAGGCAGGCAAGTTGGGGGTTGAGCAGGAGTTGAGAAAGTGGAGGGCCGAACATGAGCAACGGCGAAAGCTTGGTGAACCTGCTCAGGCAGCAACAACTGCCACTAAAAGCCCGAGGGCCAGTTTTGAGGCAAGGAAAGAATCCAAGGACTTTGACCGCGCACCTGATTCTGCCGCATCTGAGCAATATTCATCAAGCCCCAAGTATGGACTTGGAAGCCCCATGGAAGCTGGTCCATCACCCCCAGAAGTAAAGCAGGGAAAGAAGAAAAAGAAGTCGTTCTTCCCACGGATATTTATGTTCTTGGCCAGAAGAAGGGCGCATCAAAACAAGTTAAATAACTCTTGATTGAAACCAGTACACGTCTTTGTTGTTGTGATTTTTTTACCTCTTTTTTTTACAGGGTGGTTTCTCTCAGAGTGACCGTAAATGGCGGATTGATCTGACAGATGTTTACTCGAGTGTACATGACGATACTGGTAAATTGTTTGTTGTATGATAAGTTACTTGGATGATAGTTTTGCTCACTGTAAGGATGGTTTTGGAGCGGAGGTTAATATTGTTGGTGCCTGAATATTGAGAAGGGAGAATAACAGAACTTCTGTATAATCTGTAGGCCTCGAAAACTCTGTAAAAGTTGGTTCGTGTTTGCTGTAATGAAAAATTTGGGTTTGCCATTTCCGTGAGCTACTTTTAGTTGAAATTCACACTTTTTTGCATTCATTCATAGTTTCGATGAAGTTTTATTGATCCGAAAACAACGGTACTAATCACATGACTACGGGAGCTGCTCTCTCCATCTGTGTTCGGTCAGTTTTCTGAGCAGGAGTCACAGCGAGCGATAACTTCACCATCGTCGATCTCCCTTCCTATCTATAGCATAGGGCCCGGCTAAGAGATAATTTATAACTTCGCGGGTAAGGGATGACGATGGTTCAGATAGACTGGAGTTAGAAATGATCGGAAGTTTACACCGACGAGAATTGCTCCTCGCCGGCACAATGCAATTAAGTTTAAGCAATTGATTTTGCTTCAGAACTAAGCAGAACAAGAATGTGAAAGAAACTAAGAAAAGTGTTGAAAGATAAGAGGGGTACAGCTTCTAAACTCTACAGAAAGTCTTTTTTAACAAGCATACAAATTAAAGCCGAAACGAAACAAAACGAGACATCTCAACTCTTTCTGATTCAGCAAGGACAACAAGCCATCAAACAAAAATATTTCATTCAAGTGAAAATAACCATTCTAATCAGCCGTACAAGAAAACAAGACAAGTTTAACTCATCCAAAACAATACCTCAAATTTTATATTTGAAGCATTATTCGAACAGAAGGTAAATAAATGACCAGAGTTGCTACAAATTTAATGAGACCTTGTCTTTATATGATTTCAAATGAGATCAAACAACAAGAACAACAGGAGTATGCGAAAATTTTCTCTTTTCCCAACACTTTGGGACACAGTAAACACAAAAGTTTCAATTACCGTAGGCATTACGCGCAGGCCAACAAGGATATCGGTGATAGTGAAACTAATCACAGAACCTCATGAGCCTTGTTGTAGTACCTGTTGATGTATGCAGCCTTGACACCTGATATGTCAGGAGTATCGGGTGTTTGCACCGGGTAGAACTTGTAATACCTCAAATTTTCAAATGCTGCTTTAGTTTCCGTACTCATTTTTTCAAATTCTAGTTTGCGGGCCTCTTTTTTCTCTCGGTTTTCTTTCTTTTGTTGACGCACTTTCTCCTTGACAAACTCCATGAAGGCATCCTTTTGATCCGCAGATAATTCCTCCTCTTTTATCCGCTCATCAGTGAACTCCTCAACTTCATCAAACTGCCAATCAAACACACAGTAAACCGGTGGATTTGGTTCCTGTGGAAAAAGTATGTCGACTTCGGTGCTCAGCTCAAGCTCCTCTTCCTTGATCGGCATTAGATACGGCAAGCAGTAATCAAATTTCTTTAGACGATCAATCTTCATGTGTTTCAAGGAAGCCCGTCTCTGAGTGCATCCCAGCACAAATATTTGAGGAGAATTTCGACTATATTCAACAACTTGGCTGTCTCTCTTGTCATAAGGAATATATGGAATCCAATCCATTTTCATCTGTTTCATTGGAACAATTTCTTCAGTCTCTCTCTGAACCGACTTAATCCCAATTTTGTCAGAAGGTGGGCAAGGCGATACAACAGCCACCACAATAGGTATGTAAATAATTTTCAAATCACCCTTATAGGGGACTTGTTGAGGCTCTGTACCACCGAAGAGATACACTTTGTTGTTCCCAAGATCGTGCAGCTTGCCCCCCTCTTCAAATGCTTTTTCAAGGTTTGAGAAATCCCACTTGAATTGGTACACCTTGTCCAAGTGATCCCACTCTGTCCCAACAGGAAAGGCAGCCTTCCAGAGATCTTCCAATTGGCGAGGCTCCTCAAAGTACTCAGGCTCGGATTGGGGGTGCGATGCCTTGACCCGCTTTGACCGAGTGGCGGCCTTGCTCGATTGTTCTTTGTGGTTGTCTGCCTTGGTCGAATTTTCCTTGTTTTCTTCTCTCTGGCTGGCCTTCCTCTTAGCTCCTCTTGCCATTGTATTCTGCAACCAAAAAGGGCCAAAAAAAAAAAAAAAAAAAAGAAGAAGACAAATACAAATCGAAAATCAGGGCTACGGACCTAGGGTTAGGGTTTGTACCGTTGGGCACACAATCCAATTCATACACATAAAGTTCTTCCGCAACTTCGACAAATAATTTTAAATTTGTATGAATGAAAGATTCAAACTTCAAATCTATAGATCGTATATCTAATCGAAAATAAAAATTATAAAAGAAACTCAAATAGCAGTTCATCGTTTCATGCAGCAGATTCAAATTTCAACTAATATCTAATCTAATACGAAATCATAAAACCAATCGTCCCTGAATTCATTGACAGGTAAAAAAAGCCCTAGGAAAAATCAAAACCCAGAAAAAACCCAAATCAAATCCCCTATAAAACCCTAAAAACCCAAATCAAAACCGTGAAAATTCAAAGTTTCTGAAAAATTATAGCACACTGAACAGAAAATTCATACCCGAAAAGGCTTTTGTCGCTTCGAGGACTGCAAATTCCAACACAATCTGGGTTTTTTGAAAATTGGAAGCAAAATCACAGCAGGGGGCTCCTTATTAGGCAAAAGTGAGAACCTTTGCCCCCTCCCTCCCTCTGCTTATAAATTCCAACACATCTTACCGTTTCACTTTATTACATCTGAACCGTTCATTTTATCCCACGGCTGAGATTTGAACATCTACTTTTCTACTCCCGCTAGGAAAGGTAGGTAATGTGCGTCAAACCAACGCCACGCCAAGTCCGCCTCGTGTCTAATGGTGAAAACTAGCATAAGAGTTAAGACTTCAACGTTTTTTAAGGCAGAAACTTTTTAAGTCGGGGCATGATCTGCCACCAATATTATCGATATTATTTCTATACACATGACCTATATTATTGATATTGTTCCAATTTACTCATCTATTACCATTTTTTGGTCAAATACTTACCTATTACTAGGTAGTGTGTTTTATTACAAAAAGACTTCAAACTTATTTGGATGTGCTTTAAAAATAACTGAAAAAACTTTTGGTGAAGATGTTTTTGGAACTAATCCTTAGTAAAAATGCAAGTAAATCCTGAAAAAGAACTTAAAGTGATTCCTGGAAGAATGACACAACTTGTGCTTTTTGCAGAAAGCAATTAAAGTACTTTTGGAACCCCAAAATATTTTCTCTAAAAGCACTTTTAGCTATTTTAAAAACACATCCAAACGAGCTATTCAGTGATATTAAGAGTGGAACTCGCACATAAGCTATATGTTATTTTGTTGTATCTTCTAGATGAGACTTTAGTCTCTAATATTTTTACACTTGTACAAGACTTGCACATGGAAAGAAATATAGAAAATTCTAAATTTTATTTATTTAGACTCACAATAACAAATTTAACCACACCAGTATTTCTACGATTTTTATGGGACTCTACATGATTAACAATGACATGTGAAGTTGTGAACCTAACCACCGAGATGCAAATAAAAGTTTGGGATTGAGCTTCTTCCGAAGAATATGTTATGTGTAAATGGAAGGCTTTTCCCCTATTAGAGAAGGCCCTATGAAGGAGTCCGAAGATAGATGATGGTACTACAACCATTGAACATTGTTACATTGGCACATACAAAGACCATAGACATGGATTTACATTTAAGAAGAGTTTGCAAGGGTCTGAACTATGGTTCTGTGCCATGGGTTGGAGAGGTGCTCCAGAAGATTATCGATGGGTCCCACATGAGTCACAGATGCCTGCACAAAGAAGCCCAGCATCGCCACCATTGCAAGCCGTCCTGCAACAACACACAACTAATTTGAAGCAACAATCCAACTAGAAAATAAGACTAAGGTCGTACCCAGTGCACAAGGCTCCCGCTTTACGCGGAGTCTGGGAGAGGTGAATGTCGGCTAGCCTTACCCCTATTTATGGAGAGGCTGCTCCCAAGTCTCGAACCCGAGACCTACCGCTCATGGGCGAAGGCACTTGCCATCGCACCAAGTGCGACCTCTAACTAGAAAATAAGACTGAAATGGAATATATTGATTTGGAAAAATCAATGAAAATAACACATTTTATACCGTTCTTAATCTCTTTAAGCTTCCACTCATGAGCATTCTTGATATCTTTTGCCAGACCTAGAGGATTCAGCAACGGACCTCCGGGATATCTGATAATCATCACGCGATGTTATTAATCAACTTCATATCATAATACAGGTAGACGTCAATGTTCATATGTAGTTGAGCTTGCGTATAGTGTTAAAATTGAATACTCGTGTTGTAACATGAGTGAATTAGAGTAAGGATGGGATTGTGAGCCAAATAAGATTACCCAGGTTCTAAACCTTCAAGTGCAGATTCCAATCCAAAGAATGACCCATCTTTGGCTTGAGATCCAGGAGTTTTGAAATCCATGTATCTTTTAGTTTCAACGAATCTACAAGCACAGCAGGAAAGGAGAACATTAACACAGAATCACAATCAAACAGGAAGATCTTTCGGATCAAGCAATATTTTACTTTAAAGAGAACGATTCAAACCCGGGTGCATAAGGGAACCAAATCCACTCTAGCCAATGCAGATTAATACAGAACTTACCCCATCAAGATAAATTGGACAATGAGCAGAGTTTCTGTATTAGCAAAGCCAAATTTTACTGCACCTGCATTGTACCAAACTGGTACACTAAGAAGCCCTGTTACCCTCAGTAACTGCAAAAAATAATCGCTAGTTTCATTTTTTAACATTTATCCACAGTAGTTAAGTAAAATTACAATGCTACACTCCCTCAAACTTCTTATCTACAATATGTGGTAGGTATTAAAATCAAATAATTGAAATTTATTTTGGAATTTCCAAATGAGTCCACAGCGAGAAACAGAATGCCATTTAGGTCTTACATCTGTAAGTAGAATTCCTGCAACTCCAAGCATTGCAAAGCGAGCATGAACCAGCTCTGCCTGCACATACCACCTCAAGTTTTCCGGGTCCTCCCCGAGTCCAAGCGGGTCAAACCCAAAATCCCCAGCCAAGCTGTTGAAGAGGGACAAAGAGTGTGAACCTAAATAGGGGAAAAAAGCAAGAGAAATGAAATCAAATTGAACCAGCTTCTTGAGGGACTTACCTTCCGTCGAGGTAGGCTGGTGGGTCAAGCCCTGGGAGCCATGTAGGGCGCACTTGGGCTTGAGTCACATGGCGGGCAAAACCTCGACCCTTTGCTGGTTTGCCATGCCCGATAGCAACTGAGGGCCTTGATGTGTTCTTATTAGAAACAAAGGATAAAGGACATGGCTGCACAAGGAAACCTCTCCCCACTGCAGCAGCCATTTCTCTCCTTCTATCTTTCTATCAAGAGGTCCACAAATTTTATGTGTATGCATCATACATATATATATGAGAAACAAGGACCACTTGGACATAAGGTTAAAATATAAAGGTCACTAAAAAGAAGTGGGAAAATGTTGAAATATTGCTGGAAGAAGGAAAAGAAAATTTACTAAACTATGCTTCAACAAGAATTAAAGCACTATTATTGCTGGAAATCATTAGATTACCATTGAAATTCCTTCAGAACATGGGTACAATTCAACATAGTTCATTACTGGCACGACCTAGCTTAAAGAGCATACCCTACAAATACTTGACGGGAAAAAAAAAAAAAGCCAAATACAAGTTGTAAGTTCTTAATAGAAAATTAGGAAGTTCACTGCAGAGACAATTGTCTATTGGTACTGGATATGCTGAAGGAGCTGACTTTCAGAGGGGTTGCAATCACAAGGGGGGCCTCAGGTGAGTCAGTAACTGCAAACTTGTCATGCATGAAGCGACTGTCAACAATGGAGTCATCCTTGGGGACTATCTTGTAGCAGTAGCAGCTCTTCAAGCCCTGCTGATTGCGGTAGCACTCGTGTGAGCCATCTTTCACCTGTTGAAAGTTCCAAACCACACTAAATTTGCCCACAGTTGCAACCAGATGTCGCTCCTGCTTCCCGTTCTCCGTGACCTGAACAATAATGTAAAACACGATTATCATAATCTTCTACCAAACAAAATCATTAGGCTACAAGAAAAATAAACTGAGTTCAGAGTGTTAATTGCCTAGACATTTTCCATTCATAGACGATGCTCCAACCAACCAAAATCGGTACTGAAATCCTCCAAACTAAAGTTCATATGTAAGACCAGACTTCTGTTTCAACCATTCTAATAGTAGTCATTAAAAGCGAAAAGAAATTGGGAATTTTTAGAAGTTATATAAACCTCCTATTGGATATTTAGTTAAATCAACAAAAACCGCATTCAAAATCTAAAAGTTACTTGGAAGAGAGAGAGGAAAAGCCAGACAAAGTAGTTTTATACATGACAACCCCACCATTAGAACCTTCGACGTAAAACCAATACATTCTCCATCTTTCAGCAATTCAACACTAAAACATACACTGAACCGAAAATTATTCCAACTTTCAGATCTGAAGTGGACGTGCGTGTGCATATAATTTAGGAAAAGGAATGCCAAAAAGGGGGAAAGCTAAATAATAGAAAACACAGTCCAACCATTTTCGATACCGTAGGATGGTAGATTCACATTTCAGGTTCTATTCATGACTTACATTTAGCAAACCAGGCTTAAGACAGGCCACTAAATCATGCACATTATAGCAGATGGAAACAGAGATTTTCATCACCACATACAAAAGGAAGAAGCAACATAATGTTGCATGGTCTCACCAAATAACAGAAAAATATTTCTAACCAACGGGCTGAAAATACATATACTTACCCACGAAAACTGAGCATTACGAAACTTGTTATTCGTGCCCGCCAAATGTGAATCCAGGGGAGTCAACTTCAGCAGCCTTGGAGCTGAAATTCTATTTCCCATACGCCCACTAAAACCAGTCTTTGTCTTGCCATCCTTATCAGTAAAGATTGTGCAGATGAGGATCAAATAGGTGTCCGTTGTGCCCAAAATCCACTTCCCATCAAAAGTAACATCCACATGAGTAATAGGCGAACCAAGGCCTGGAAAAGCAGTTTTTGCCTGCCTCATCGAATTGATAGAGTACAACCTGATCTTCCCATCAAGAGACCCAACAGCAATTGAGCCATCACCAGTGCTAGCAAAGCACTGAAAGTTAGTCCCTCTTGAGAACTGATGCCCTTGGTTCCAATTGAGAACAGGACCACTAGAAGCTGCTAGGTCCTGAACCATTCCCTTCCTATCACGCATATCCCACCGGCAAAGCCTGTTGTCATCCAAACCCAAGAATGTCGATCCTGAGGGGTCCAACTGTGCTCCCTTACTATCATTTGTGATATCCCTCATTGTAATGTCAGCCCCATCTTTCTCAAACTTCCACTCAGTAACAACCTTCCCAGTTTCGATATCAAGCTGATGGAGCCCTGTTGTGTGAGGCTTCCCCTCATTCATTGGACTCATAAGGAGCATGTTAGTCTCGGCCTTCATCAGCAGAGCCTTCCTAGGTGTAGACCGTGCCAAATTTGAACCGCCTCCATAGCTCCCATCATCAAAATTCACATAAACACCTTTACCATGTATTCCATGAGCAAAATTCTTAACAACCTGAATGCCAGAGTTCCCCACCAAAAAACTATTGTCCAATGCACCTAATGCCAAGCTCTGTATACCGCCATCGTGTGCCTCCTCAAACTCCTCTCTCAAATTTTGATTTCCCCTCACCGGTGTTGCTGAGCCAGGGCTCTTCAAAAAATTATCCTCCGCATCTTCCCAGACCGAATCATCCGCCATTTCGGGCTTTGCCCACCCGACAAAATCTTTCCCATAAACCTTCACCCTGTTCTCCTCAGTGGCCTCATACCCATAAGTGTTCTCAAACAAACAGTCATTATACTTAATCACAAAAGCCCTATACTCCTCATCACTGAAAAACTTCACTGCCCACACACCTCTGGCAAAGAAATCGACACGCCGCTGATCGGCGAAAGTGAGCAATTGCATCTCGGCTGATACCTTAGCCCTAACTTTGGCGCCCACCCTCAAAACCCACAAACCCTCCTCATCAAATTCCTCTTCTTCTTCTTCCTCCTCATCATTATCAACATCCATTCGAGATGTCTTAATAAAATTGAAAGAAGTGAGTTTTTCGGAAGTTACCCATTTCGCTTTTGGGGTGTTCCCTCCAATGTGGAGGTACAGCTTCACCGGATTCTTCAGATTCGGGTTCCTGGAAGAAGACCCGTACTTGAGACTCAAAGCCTTGAGCTTGGCGTCCACGTCGTCTAATGCAGCCGACGACGGCGTTTTGGTTCCCCGCTCGGCGGATCTCTGGCGCTGGTCGGCTTCAGTTTCCTCCACGTCCTCGTAGCTCTCCTGCTCCTCGCTCTCTTCCTCGTCGGAGTCGGAAAGCTCGAGGTGTTCGCGGCTGTGAGCTCCGCCCATTTTTGTACGAAGATTTGGGAAATGGTATGTGAAAGATGAGAGCTTTGGAAGTCTGAGAGTGAGATGGTGTTTTGGGATGAAAAGTTCAAATTTCAAATTTGGGAGCTTTTGCGGTTTTTTGGCATCGTCTTACTTTTCCGTTATTAGGGTTTCTAAAAGTGGAAGGTCAAGGGAGATTAGATGATTGGGCCTGGGTCGGGTAGGTGGGAGCCGGGTTACGTCTTGACTGATTTTCGTGGCATTTTACAAAAATTGTTTAGTTATGGAAAGAACTACGATAACCATCATAACATTTATTTGATACATAGATGACGTGATGTATCGATGTAATAGTAGATAGCTTGATTTGCTTCAGAAAGCACAACAAAATTTTCTAGCTAAAACAGTATGGTGCTACATAATCCGTCATAAACTTATTATCATGTCATTTTCGACGAATCATGTTTTTCAAAATTTATGCAAAACATTCTAGAGATGTTTAGGCTGTTGCATGCATAATGAATATATGGTGATACCAAAATCAGGTCTAGAGATGATTATATATACAGAATCTGCCCAAAATTTGTATTCAAACTAGGTTTATTCAAGCACAAATTTTCATTCGTCTCAATAACACTCACTCCTGAACAACCATCACCTCCGGTCCCTCTCATCATCTCCCTCACCCTAGCTACATCGTCCCACATCCCTTTAACGGCGTAAAGATTTGACATCAGCACGAAGAACCCGCCACTTTTACTGTCCAAGAGAAACAACTTTTTGGCTATGTACTCCCCAAGCTTGACCTCTTGGTGGATGCAACAAGCATTCAGCAAGGCTCCCCACACTGCGAAGTCAGGCTCCATCTCCATATCTCTGATGAAAACCAATGCCTCCTGGAAGAAGCCCACACGGCCAAAGAGACCAACCATGCAAGCGCAGTGTTGCAAGCGTGGCGCTATATTGAACTCTTCCCTCATGATTTGGAAGTATTTTCTTCCCTCCTCAACAAAACCTCCATGAGTACAAGCAGCTAAAACTCCCAAAAATGTGATATTATCGGGCTTTATCCCCTGCTCTTGCATTTTCAAGAAGCAAGCAAGAGCTCTATGTTCTGACCCGTAGTGGCTATAACCCAAGAGGATTGAGTTCCACGATGCCAAACATGGCTCTTGGATGCTCTTAAACACCCTTTCAGCAAGCTCTATTCTTCCACACTTGGTGTACATGTCTATAAGAGCGGTTCCAACAAAATCTTCCACTTCAAGATTGTTTCGGAGGACATAGTTATGAAGTTTCTCCCCAAATCGCAAGTACCCAATTTGGCCACACCCAGATAGTAAGCTAGAAATAGTGATGCTATCTGGACTGTATCCGGACATTTTCATTTGGATAAACAAGTCCAGGGCATCACTTGACCTTCCCACTTGTACACATCCCGATATCAAAGAATTCCAAGTAAGCAACGATTTTGCTTGCATCTCAAGGAATAAAGAAAAAGCGGCTTCTATCTTGTCAAACCTCGAGTACATGCTTATCAAACCATTTGCAACCAAAGAATCAGCCGTCAGCCCAATCTTTATTCCATAACCATGGAAAGCAAGTCCAAGGCCAATTTCAACAGGGACTTTTATCCCATGAAGGATGCAAACCATAGAAACTGCGTCTAGTTTCATGTCTAACCGCTGCAAGTGAGCAAAGCATTCCAGTACCTGAGCTATGTTATCTTTCTCAGCATAGCTTGAAATAATTGCAGTCAGGGAAACCAAGTTCTTCTGAGGCAATGACTTGTAAAGCAGTTTTCCGGATTCTGTGTTCCCTCGTGTTGCATATTCGCAAATTAGCGAAGTAATCACGGAAGCATCATTTGCATGACCAGTTTTAAGGGCATGACAATGGGTAGACTCTGGATTTGCATTTGCTGACAGGAGGCTTACCATGGTCACCAGATTGGCCGGAACATTTTCCTCCTGCATTCGTTTAAAGACAAGCATTGCCTCATGAAAGAAACCATTTTGTCCATAAGCGCCAATCATAGTATTCCAAGAAACTACACTCTTGTCAACTATCTCTTCAAACAAGAGCTCCGCCGCCTCCAAATCTGCAGATTTAGCGTACATCGAGGTAAGCACATTCTTCACGTTAGAATCCAAATCCAGGCCCGCCTTAATTCCAAACCCATGAACACATTTCCCAATAAAAACTAACTCTTGCCTACCACAAGACGGAACCAAACTAACCAAAGTCGTCGGACAAGGACAAAGCCCCTCTCTACACATTCGAACAAAGCATCTCAACGCTTCAAAATCATACCCATTTCGTGAAAACCCACAAATCAACGCATTCCATGAGACAACATCTCTGTCAGGCATATCATCAAACACCTTCTGGGCATCCTTTACACAACCCAATTTCATATACAAATCAAGAAGAGCAGTGCTCACATATACATATCGATCGACA